CTTATTTAATTGCATACTTGGTTTCTACTCCCCGCCAAGTAAATTTAAGTGCCTAAAACTATACTAAATAATGTAAACTGAGATTATACACATAGTTATGTAAATATGGCAATTATGCTAAGAATTAAAATGGCATGTAATTGTGAGGGTAAAGTAATTATGGTAGGATCAAATGGTATTGCTAAATCCCAAAAACCTAAAACACACTGTAGAAAACCAAGCAATTCAATTGTGATTGACTCACTTGGTATATCAATAAGAAAATTAAATATTTATAAGAACATATTTTTTGGTTAAAATGTTGATTTTTTTTTGTGAAAAAATACTTGCAAATACACCACAATCCTCCAAACACACTGCGAACCCCATCCAAACCCTTTAATTACGATTGTAGAACTCTCTTTAAAAAAAAAAAAAATAATAATAATTTGATGTTCATATAAACTCATTGTTTGTGGGGTTTACCAATACCCAGATTGAATTTCTGGAAAATTGTGATTCCGCTTCCTTGAAATTGGCCACAAATAAATTATTTTAGTATTAATAAATGCATGTGTTGTTGCTATTTTTTAACATTTAAATGGAAAAAAAATAAAAAGTGTTATTCATGACTTGTTTTTTTATCTTTGAATATTTTATCATTGAATATGTAATTTCTGCAAAATGTAAATGGCAGTTTATTTGATGTTAGATTCCTTTTAAAAACTAAATTATTTCAGTTTAAAAAAATGCATATGATGATTTAAAAAATTAAGAATTTTATTATTGGGGCCATTTTTACCTACCTGTCATTTGGGGCCATTTTTACCGGCGCCATTTTTTCCGGGACAATTTTTTTCTGGGCCATTTTTTCTGGGGCCATTATTACCGTACACCGCTCCTGCCACAACAGCTGCAGCAGCTCTAAGCACAGATACTGGCTTACCACTATTTAGCCCAGAATCAGCCGATATCCGATTCCTTGATGTTAGCTGTGCAGGGTAAACATGGAAAGTCTTAAGACCATCCAGTTTTGTTGTATGGCAGCATGCTCTTGCTACACTAGTCTTAAACTAATTCTTCTGATTGGATGTTATTGTATGCCTATACTGTATTTGATTTAGGGCAGTAACATCCACTCAGAATTAAGATTTGGTTCAATACTATTTTGATTTTAATTCCCTTTGCTTTTTCCATGTTTATCCTCATGTTTATTGGTCTACTGTAGGTACAGTAGGAACAGGGGCAGTCCAGAGGTGGAAGGTTGTTCAGTGCGAAACGAATTCCACTAACATTGACTGTAATATCTTAATCATCATTAAACACCCTTTTTTGTGTCTAAGGAAAATGAAAATCTTGATACTGTTTTTTTGTTTGTTTTTTTTTGTGCCAAAAATATGAAAGCAACATGAATTAATTCACATATGGCATTGTTATAGATACAGTATTAAGAATAAACAAATGTTACAAGTGTGAGCATGCTAGGCCAAAAAGGTCAAAGAGTGTGACGATAACACCTCTGCTGGTATAGTGGGCCTCGAATGACCTATGAATTTTCTATTTACCGCTCTGCGATGCTACTCTAACTTTGACAAACGTTTTGCATTTTATTTGAATGGATGGAGTATTTACTTTGCAAATAATCATTACAGTACTTAACTTTTAGTAAACATTATAGTTGCCTAAAAGTAATATAAATATAGGGAAACTGTGAATAAATAGGCTAAAGCTGGTCAAGTTTAAATATAAATATAAACTATAAATATAAGTTTTTATTAATAGAAATTTGTCGTGGCCTATAGTTCCGTTAACTAGTATAATAACTATGAATATAAATTCTATAAATAATATGTAAAAAGATTGATTTTCACTTTGTAATAGTCTGTGTCCAAGCCTGTAGATATATTTTGAAATACTATTTTTTGATGATTTACTGTGGAACATTTTCAAGTCAGCAATTGTATACCTGTGTGTTTTTAATACTGTATATGTTGTACCATGCTGTAGTGGGTGCCCTGATAAAACTTTCACTAGAGTTCCTAAATAGAGTTCTATATACAAACTCAAACTTTCACTACTATTACTGAGCATAGAACTAAACCATACTGTATATTTTGTCAGACCCTTATATGATTTTAATAGCTAGAAGCATTTAGATATTGAAATATATTTGTGACAGCCATACATAATTTAGTACTGTATTAACCAATACATTTTTAGTGGTATTTTAGAATTTGAAAAGACTATTTGTAAAGATGACTTCACTTGTGTAAAAAAATAAACATTTCAATTCAAGAAATCCCTGGCATGTGTCATTTATTTGCATTTACTGTGTTTTGGAATTTAAAATTGTGTGTATATCTACCTTGTTGATGGGGGAACCACATTCAACATTTTGCCTCATCTAGAACAGTTGGAAGCATTGGTGTGATAAGTGCATGTATATATTTTGATCACATGTGTTATGTATAGTAATAGAGTGTGTGTGTAATTAGTACCACAATAAATATTGTACCTGTGAAACTAAAAATCTTGAATGGTGATGGTAGGTGAGGGATGGGGTATGCTAATGATCTGTGGTGTTGTTACTATGTTCCCCCATCTCGGTACGATAATATTTCGATTTTGCTTTAAGAGTACAGGAGGGCATTTTCC